CCCAGTCTGTTGGAGTGGTTTCTAGGGGGTTGTGATATTAGTTGAATAAATATTTGTCTGTAGGATTGTCATACAGCCTTTGTCTCTTAAATGGAATAGGTATAGTGCGGGTAGTAGTAGTAGTACGGTCTGTTTATCTAACGGTTGGTATTGAGGTTAGTGTGATGACGCAAGGTTGGATGGGAGAAGGGGAACGGGGTTGCGGACAGAGGGAAGGGGAAGGGCGAATAGTAATAAAAATAACTCACCCAGCCCCTTAATCAATAAAAATTATTGATTTGTACTTTAGAGTGATTAGATTGAATGATATGTATGCTAACGTCATATCATATTTAGTTTTTACGTCATTATTTTGGTGAACTTTAAATGTAGACATTTTAAACGGTGTGTCATTTGACACGACGTACTATAACGTTGTTGTTTTTTAAAACTTGAAGTTTATAATCTTAAGCAAATTTTTACTAAGGTGATCAAAAATTAAGATGACAATGTAAGATATAGAAAAAGAAAATACATTGAGTGGTAAAAATAAAAAATTGTCCTTAGACGTAATGTATTATGTATAAGTAAACTTTCTTAAAAATTAACGAGGTTCAAGTCAAAAAGAAGTTTGATGAAAACTGTAATACTAAAGTGAACATGGGAAGGTAAGCTGCTGCAAGACTAAGATATATATTCGTCTTCCTTCTAGGTTCATTGTCTTTTTTTTGACGACGTACTATAACGTTGTTGATTTTTAAAACTTGAAGTTTATAATCTTAAGCAAATTTACCACCACCTTACCACCACCTTACCACCACCTTACCACCTTACCACCACCTAAGGTGATCAAAAAATTAAGATGACAATGTAAGATATAGAAAAAGAAAATACATTGAGTGGTAAAAATAAAAAATTGTCATTAGACGTAATGTATTATGTATAAGTAAACTTTCTTAAAAATTAAAGAAGTTCAAGTCAAAAAGAAGATTGATGAAAACTGTAATACTAAAGCGAACATGGGAAGGTAATCTGCTGCAAGACTAAGATATATATTTTGTTAACCCTTGTCTTCCTAAATTATTTTTTTAACTTTTTAAAGAAATTGACTGTTTAGTTAAGGATTCTGACGCGAATTTTTTCACAAGGGACGATACTCGTGTCTGTAGACAAGGCTGTTCTAATTTTAGAACAGTTGTCTTTCCTCTCGTTTCTCTATTAGGGAAGCCGTAAGGGGAAGACACGCGACACGTCTTTTAAAATGTAAACAAGCGTGCACGGGGTGCACTTAAAATAAACCCCGCTGCGACAATTGTTAAATTTATCTGGCTCAGTGTGGTCAAATGGTGGTCAGATCAAAAGAAAATCGGAACGGTCATAAAAACTTAATTACTTTTCCAGACTTGTAAAAAACATGTCTACCCACGCATACCTACGTACCAACGCACCAAGTCGCCCTGTCGCCCATTAAAAAACACGAACCTACCGAGACTTCGTTTCGTCTCAAAACCTGACTTAACGGTGGTTGAAAGAAAATTCCGACCCTTAAATATATTTTTGTTTTCGCTGACCCTCGCTATAAGCGAATAGTTACAACCATTAATCTTTCATACATAGCAAGGGACGGTTCGCAGGACATGTGGAAACAAAATTTTTTAATTTGATCAAAGAATGACCGGGCGTACGATATGTGAACATAGTTCATGTACAGCTGTAGTCTAATGAAAAAAGCCGAGAGCCGTGACTAATTACAGCACCAGCTGTCGCCACACTTAACGCGGAGAGGGACTTAATGGCTTCGATTAATTACCTGTTGTGATCGCTTCAGTGAGCCCGCTATTAAGCAACCACGGGGAGCGCCTGGGAGGATCACGGGCGGATCGATAAGTACAAGCTGTCACTAATAAGTAACAGCTGTGGTTAAATGGATGTTATACACAATGACACTTTCTAGTACACGCTAGTGTTAGTCTTTTATTTTAAACGGCGTACAACAAAGAAATTAAAAGCAAACTAATTAAAATGAATTTCAAACAAATAAATTATACAAAGTAATTAAATTAAACAACAAGTAAACAACAATTAAAAATAAAATTTAAAAATAATAATTTAAAAAAATTAAAAATTTAAAAAATTAAAATTGAATTACGTAACTCGTTAATAATAATTAAACTAATTATAAAATAAAATTAAAAATTTAAAAATTTAAAAAAATTAAAATCAAATTACGTAACTCGTTAATAAAAATTACACATAGGTGGACCATCATACTGATGGTCAGTGGGTTCGATCAATATTAACTTGGCCCTTGTACGGTGGTTGACAAGAACAAAGGATCGCATGTGGCTCGATACGTGTCGGGTGCCATTAGCGAGTAACAGGTGTCTCTAATGGATGTTTGTAGTCGACATAAACCCACGATGCATGACCAAATTAATTAGGCGGACCATCATTTGATGGCCGTGTGTGGAATCAATATTAACGCGCCCGTTGTCCCGATGGTCCCGTGGGTGCGATCAATACATTCCCATTAAAAGCGCAGCGCGTGTCAACAAAGGATCACGGATCGATAAGTAACAGATGTGGTTAAATGGATGTTCTATTTTCGGTAACCGTTCGTTGTGTTGCTGAATGGTCCATAACGTTGTTGATTTTTAAAACTTGAAGTTTATAATCTTAAGCAAATTTACCACCACCACCACCACCACCACCACCACCACCCGCTTGGTAACATCTGTCGCCAATAATTAACAGCAAACTAATTAAAATGAATTTCAAACAAATAAATTATACAAAGTAATTAAATTAAACAACAAGTAAACAACAATTAAAAATAAAATTTAAAAATAATAATTTAAAAATTTTTTTAAAATTTAAAAAAATTAAAATCAAATTACGTAACTAGTTAATAATAATTTAACTAATTATAAAATAAAATAAAATTAAAAATAAACAAAATAAAAATAATTAAAAAGTAAACAAATAATCAAATTACGTAACTCGTTAATAAAAAAAAAAATTACACAATATAAACAAAGTAATTAAATTAAACAACAAGTAAACAAACAAATTAAACAAAATAAAAATACAATCAAAGTAATTAAATTACGTAACTCGATAATAAAAATTAATTAAAAATTTAAAAACTCCTTAAAAACGCATTAAAATTACGTAACTAGGTCAAAAATTAATTAAAATTTAAAAAACTCATTAAAAAACACATTAAAATTACGTAACTAGGTCAATGATTACGTCATAATGTTACTAATTACGTCACAAGGTCACCAAAAGGTGACCTACTGACCTACTCCCGCTCCTGCTCACCCACCCTAGGGTGGGTGAGTATTTTACTATATCTCATTGTACATCCTGCTCACCCACCCTCACCCACCTTCACCCAGGTGGGTGAGTATTTTACTATATCTCATTGTACATCCTGCTCACCCACCCTCACCCAGTTGGGTGAGTATTTTACTATATGTCGGTGTACCTCCACCTCCCCCAGGGAGTATTTTACTATATGTCGTTGTACATCCGCATCACCCACTCCACCCAGGTGGGTGAGTATTTTGCTATATGTCATTGTACCAGGCTGGGGGAGTATTTTCCTATATATCCTTTGCTCCTGCTCCTGCTCCTCCTCCTGCTCCTGCTCACCCATACTACCCAAAAGTGACCTAATATACTACTTACGTAGTGGGGGTAAGGTACCTGCAATTGTGAGGTACCTGCATCGTTGAGGTATGTGGGGGTGAGGTACCTGTAGCGGTGAGGTATGTGGGGGTGAGGTACCTGTAGCGGTGACGTACGTGGGGTGAGGTAACTGTAGCGGTGAGGTATGTGCGGGTGAGGTACCTGCAGAGATGAGGTATGTGGGGGTGAGATACCTGCAGCGGTGAGGTATGTGGTGGTGAGGTATGTGTGAGGTACCTGCATCGGTGAGGTATGTGAGGTGAGGTACTTGTATGAGAGATACCTGCAACGGTGAGGTATGCGGGGGTGAGGTACTTGTATGAGATATACCTGCAACGGTGAGGTACATGCAACGATGAGGTTCCTGTAGCGGTGAGGTACCTGTAACCGATGAGATACACCGCTGAGATGGCCTGCTATCTAAAGCACTCACGCACTGCCCGAGGAATTCTATCAGCATCCTTCTTATCGTGGCACCGCCATTAGTGTTTGCGTTTTCCAGGTCTTAATTATGTCACAACACTGTTAGTTCAAGGTTTATGTCGGTCTTACTTCAGACACAGGTATTTCAGTTTTTAGTTTTTTACAATTTTGTTCAAAGGAGTTTAATAAACAAGTACATTTTTTTTTAAATAAAATAAAACGTGGGTTTAGTTGAGCGTGGAAAAGGGGTGTTTAAAAAGGGGTTTTACATTTAAAGTTTTAACAGTCGTTTAGTTTTGTGGAATGTCTGTGGTGGCTGGTGAAAATTATGGGATGGTTTGTTGGTTTGAAATGTCAGGGTCGTGAGCATGCGCTGAAGTAATATTAGTACAGCAAGGTCATCATGTGGTGATGTCACAGTCTCAAGGTCACCATGTGCTGAAGTCATTTGTACAGCAAGGCCATCTTGTTCTAATGTAACTGGCCCTGGACCAACACATGCTTAACATATGCTTAAGTCAATGGCCAAATGCCATCATGTGCTTAAGTCAATGGCCAAATGCCATCATGTGCTGAAGTCAATGGCCCAAATCCATCATGTGCTAATGCCACTGGCCCAAGGCCATCTTGTTCTAATGTCACTGGCCCAAGGACAACATATGCTTAATTATGCTTTTGTCACTGGCCAAATGCCATCATGTACTAATATCACTGAGGTGATGCCAAATATTATTGACCAAAACTGATGTTAATAGAAATACAGTTAAGTTAAAGGTTGTACGTGCGCATAAAGCGGCGTATTATCGAAGCTTGTCGCGAATATATAAGCTACACACTCTTAACCTATCAACAACACGGCAGCTAACAAGACAAGATACACACAAATAAACTATTCAAGTACTCACCATCGTCGTGTACATCGGCCTGGTTGGATGAGGCTCGTCTCACAGAATGTTCTGGAAAGTTCCTGGACGCGAACAGGTCTTTGAGAATTTGATCGTTCGTGTCAATTGAAAAGTCTTAAATTTCTCTTGGAGTTTTCTAAACTTTTTTAAAGCTCTCTAGGCTAAAGTTTCACAATCGCTGTTTTTTAAACAGTGGCATTCAGTATAGTCTCAATTGTATGTAGATTCTTGTTTTTAATACCTCTTTATGGCTGTAATAATAAAGGACAGAAGTGCATTTTACATAATGTTAATATATATATATATATATATATATATATATATATATATATATATATATATATATATATATATATATATATATATATACTGTTCTGTTAATTATGTAATTTCAGCATTTACCTTCGACAGATGTTTAAACCAGTCGTTATTATTATTGTTTACTTAAGTCAGAGATTATTTTATTTCTAAACACCCTCAGTCATCATATTGCTGCCACGTGGTTCTGTTCCTTTCAGTTCACATTTTAACTTTTTTTTTTAAACGTCATAACACATTAATCTCCATGAAAATCCCGGGAGGTTAAAATGTTTCAGATTTTGGTTTAGAGGCGATGTTGAAAAGTAAACATCGGCAGGGTAGGGTTGTTTTCGTTCTACTTTAGCGGTTGATTTGGTGTCGACCCAATCAATGCCGGGATGTGTGTGTGTGGGGGGGGGGGGGGGGGTCAGCCATTAATTTGTTACAAGTTCCAATGCCAATATTTTAAATACCTGAGAGGAAATTAAGGCTTGAATAAGTGAATAAGTTATTTCAGCTGCTGTGGGTGTGTTGTGAGGGGAGGGAGGGGGGATTTAGCGTCGCTATAACTATAACATTATTTAAGAATTTAAAAGGATGGATGAAAAATATGTGTTTAAAGACGTAGTTCAATGAACGTTGTCGTCCAAAAATTAGGTTATTGCGTGCAGTTGCCTAGATCCAATGGATCTAGTGGTTGGAACTTGTCCAGGATAGGTTCACGATAGTGCGATGGGACCAGTGTTTCAACCAGACTTTTTTCTCCGGGGGGGGGGGGGTAGACTTTCTTCGGGGACGGGGGGGGCGGACATTGTTAAAAGTATATATTTTCTACATAAATTTCATTTCGTTCGGGGGGGGGGCGGGCGGTGGACTTTCTTCGGGGGGGGAGGGCTCCGACCCCCCGAAGAGATGCCTGGGAGAAACTCTGGATGGGACCTGATCTACTATCTGTTAAAGTTTACTGGGTGCTGTGAAAAAGAAAAATCTAACGAATGACTTTGTCAAGGATTTGTGTCCAAGCTAGTCACAGGAGCTGATAAAATATCTATGAAAGTTTACTGGGCGCCGTGACATAAAAAAGAAAGATCTGACGGTTGACTTTGTCAGTGAGTTGGGTCCAAGATAGTTCCACAGGAGCCGAACAAATATCTGTGAAAGTTTACTACGGGCTAATCGGTCTTGTAATTGGACATTGTCCATGATATTGGGTTTAAATCTGTACGATGGGTTCCGGCCATGTCTGTGATGGTTAAAAAGATGCACGTCTGATACGATGAAAGCTACAAGTGCCGGGATGTAGAGCAAATGGGTCTAGTGATTGGCCATGTCTGTGATGGTTAGAGCTACTGTGTACAGAAGTATAGAGCCGGTAGGGTATTGTAACTAAATGTACCTTATGTTGGACCCGGCCATGGTTAGAGCTACTGGGTACAGAGGTGTAGACACAGTAGGGTCTTGTAACTAAATGTACCTTATGTTGGACCCGGCCATGGTTAGAGCTACTGGGTACAGAGGTGTAGACACAGTAGGGTCTTGTAACTAAATGTACCTTGTGTTGGACCCAGCCATGTCTGTGATGGTTAGAGCTACTGGGTACAGAGGTGTAGAGCCGGTAGGGTCTTGTAACTAAATGTACCTTATGTTGGACCCAGCCATGGTTAGAGCTACTGGGTACAGAGGTGTAGAGCCGGTAGGGTCTTGTAACTAAATGTACCTTATGTTGGACCCAGCCATGGTTAGAGCTACTGGGTACAGAGGTGTAGACACAGTAGGGTCTTGTAACTAAATGTACCTTATGTAGGACCCAGCCATGGTTAGAGCTACTGGGTACAGATGTATAGAGCCGGTAGGGTCTTGTAACTAAATGTACCTTATGTTGGACCCAGCCATGGTTAGAGCTACTGGGTACAGATGTATAGAGCCAGTAGGGTCTTGTAACTAAATGTACCTTATGTTGGACCCAGCCATGACAGCGATGGTAAAACAGAACAGGTCGTTGATTTCTACACGGAATTTTAAAAATCAGGTGGCGACTAAACCAGAGGTGTAATGCCGATGTATAACTGCCCTTATAATCCAAAAGTGTAATGCCGATGTATACCTGCCCTTATAATCCGAAAGTGTAATGCCGATGTATACCTGCCCTTATAATCCGAAAGTGTAATGCCGATATATACCTGCCCTTATAATCCGAAAGTGTAATGCCAATGTATACCTGCCCTTATAATCCGAAAGTGTAATGCCGATATACACCTGCCCTTATAATCCGAAAGTGTAATGCCGATGTATACCTGCCCTTATAATCCGAAAGTGTAATGCCGATGTATACCTGCCCTTATAATCCGAAAGTGTAATGCCGATATATACCTGCCCTTATAATCCGAAAGTGTAATGCCGATGTATACCTGCCCTTATAATCCGAAAGTGTAATGCCGATGTATACCTGCCCTTATAATCCGAAAGTGTAATGCCGATATATACCTGCCCTTATAATCCGAAAGTGTAATGCCAATGTATACCTGCCCTTATAATCCGAAAGTGTAATGCCGATATACACCTGCCCTTATAATCCGAAAGTGTAATGCCGATGTATACCTGCCCTTATAATCCGAAAGTGTAATGCCGATATATACCTGCCCTTATAATCCGAAAGTGTAATGCCGATGTATACCTGCCCTTAAAATCCGAAAGGATAATTTTTATTTTCTTTGTATTTAGTAGGTAGTTGAGACGGGATGAAATAAAGCAGGATAAATACAGAGAACGGTTTTCTGGGAGGAATCATTAATCTAGTTAACTATTTAATTAGTCAACATTTTTATACCTCACCACAATTGAATTATTTAATTAGTCAACATTTTTATACCTCACCACAATTGAATTATTTAATTAGTCAACGTTTTATGCCTCTCCACAATTTTATGTACTTAGTCAACATTTCATACCTCACCACAAAGCTCAGCCTAAACACACACACACACCAAAAATGCACGCGAGACCAATTACTTTTGATGAGTAGCCTTCAACATTACACGTCAAAATAATTACCGGAAGTCGGATATTTCTAATGAAGTCTTGGAGATTACAATCATACCCCTGGTACGTTAATTAGACAGACGTTCTTAAAGAGCCACATTCCTATCGTACACGTTTAATTAACGCGGCTACAGTCAGTGGTTTCCTTTCCATCCTGCTGCAAATATTTTTGCTGCAACTCAAAACTGTCAAACACGCTCAAACTTTTCGCATTTTTATAATTATTTTAGCTTTTATAAAATTGCATTAAAAACAGTTGGTAAATTTTAATTCAAATTATTATTGCAATTATTATTATTTAAAAATTATTTAAAAACTGTTCCTGAAATTAAAGTTCAAAGCTCACCAGAACATCTCTCCCCCCCCCCCCCAAAAAAAAAGAAAAAACCTTACATGTCGTTATTTATGAACCACTACTCACCCTCCCACACACACTCACACACACACACACACACAATTGCAATTTGCAATTATTTATTTTAAAACTGTTCTGAATTTAAATAAACACTTGTTTCAGAAAAACCAACTTGCCTATGATTTTTTTTAACTCAAAATTAACATGACTGCGTGTCATTATTTTATTTGAAGATAAATTAAATATGTGTGCATTGACATACTTCTGAACCCATATGCCTTCCTCAGTGGCGTCGCTAGGTCGGGTTTCACCTGGTGCCTGGTGCGGCACCACATGGTGTCACACCCTCCCCCCTCCCCCACCCGAAAAAATTACATGATAAATATATATATATATATATTATATATATATATATATATATATATATATATATATATTTATTTATTTATTTATTTATTTATTTATTTATTTATTTATTTATTTATTTATTTATTTATTTATTTATTTATTTATTTATTTATTTATTTATTTATTTATATTTATATATATATATATATATATATATATATATTAGGTCTACATAAGCCTATATATATAGTTTGCATTTGTTGTCACCTTCTCCTATTATGCCTAATGTCGTCAATTTATGCGTACATTATATCAATCCACCTATTAATTCATGTAGAAAATGCATCGTTGTCATCGTATATTATTAGATTTTGGTGTCACCCCCCTCCCCGGTTGTTGGTTGGCTCATCAGTTATTCAAATTACTCAACAAAACGTTTCTTCCTCTGTAAATTTTGTAGTTGGTTTTACACCTCCCTTCCCCCCCCCCCACCCTCGGGTAGATAGTTTTAAAGTGTGCACATTTAATAGTAAAGATGTTTATCTATAGTCATTTACTAAAATAGGAGGATTAACTTTAATTAATCATTAATTGAACTATATATTTTGCAATTTTTCACATTGGTGTCATCCCCCCCCCTGAATCCTGTCACCGGGTGCGGACCGCATCCCCCGCCCCCGCCTCTTGACGCCTCTGGGCCTACCCCTTCTTCGTGGCCATATTTCTAATCGAAAAAAAAAAACGTTACTTTTGTTTTATCATATTTACCTGATGTATCGTGTCTCATTTTAAATTTACACCCGGCTTCTCGCCTACCTAGCTCATAGACACCAAAGCTCTTAACTCACCCCCCCCCCCTCATGTACAGGTCTTTAATTACGAACACTATTCCCCCCCCCCCCCCACTTACCACACCCCCCCACCTCCCAGAAAAACATACTCACCCTCGCTAGTATTGTACAACAGCATTTCTCATTCCTCCCTGACATGAAAATGATGAGTCAAACAGAAATGACCAAGCTCAGCTATGATTGCCAACTTTCTGGCAGCAAACAAAATATATACCAACTGTTATTTCATGTCAATTTTTTTTTTATTTGAAGTCTACGTCGGAAGTTTATTTTACCTTCAATAAAAAGCCTTGTTTGACAATGTAAAAAAAAAACAGGAGAGACAACTGCAAAGCATTTATGAGCGAGTTAATT